TGCAACGCTTTAATGATATATTTGATTAACTTTTGAAATTGTGCGTTTGTGTCTACACAATTTTGGCTGGGTTTATAAATCATTGTAATATATAAAATAGCTTGAAATGTATACTGTCAATGGCAGTTATAAATATGGACATAATGCCAACCTTCCTCCTGCTATTGGACCAGCCTTGATATCAGGCTCCACCCTGAACATACACTTCTTCCAATTAGAAGCATCAAATTAGAATCAGCTATAGAACTTTGCCCATACTATAGATAACTATTGATCATCGTAATTTAAGTGGAACTAATCTTTTTAAAAATGGCATTGATTTGCATGGTGAGGCTGTTTCTATACTGCAGCCATGCTCCAGGGGGCGATAGAGGCACCTTTAGCCTCATTTAGCAGGCTGTGTCAAATATTCTCGGTTAAGTGGTTTTAAATATTGAATTTTCAAAGTTGTACATTTCTTACCTTACTTATCAATGAGAACAAAACCCAATTTCAAAACAAGAAAAACATTGAAAATAAAGTTAAATAAAATTAAATATTATTTTTCAGATTGCTGGTTGATTGCTAAAACATCATTAGGTTTTGCAAGTAACATGAGGAAGACTTTTTTTATTGTAAGGGCTTTGCGTAACATAACACATTATTGGGATTAACATATAAATCACTGTATGTGTCATTTTCTTTCACCCTTTGGGCCTATCTTTACATAATCAGAGACCAGAAGCAATTTTCATTTGACCAAAAAACCTTACTTTATTGGTAACTTGCCATTTAACATTCAGCATTCATCCAAAGTGATTTACAGTTCAAAGCATCAACCTTTCCACTGAGTTACATCACCTTCACTGCTGGAGTTTGCAACTGCTGTGTATTCAGGATAGGTTGCTAATCGAGACCCTCCAATATATGCATGGTCGCAAGTATTATCAAGGACATACCAAAGGTTTTTGAACCCTTGTATGCAATAAATGAGCTATACGTTTAGAAACGTGAATCTGGACATTCAAAAAAAATTTTTTTAAAGCAAATACAATATCTGAGCTGTGTTTTCATCAGCTCTTGCTAAAGGGAAGTGTCCATCCCAGAGGGTCCTCACTGAAAACATAATCTCTCCGACACCCCCATCAATGCCATAGAGAAAGGGTACAAATTCACTGTCTCATCCTCATTCTTCCTGTCGTGCCAAGAAGCTGTATACAGTACACTGCAGATCAAAGCCTTAATTGAAAAATAATTATAGGCACTTAATCATGGGAGGCAGTGGGCTAATTGAAGCAAAAACAAGGCAGTGAGTGGAGGCCCTCCGAATCCTAGCAGAAAGAGAATATTGTTTGAGCTCCCGTCTTTAATAAAGCATCGTCTTCAATCCCCCATTGTCTCCCAGATTAAATTGGAGAGGGCTATTAGCAGAGTTAATTTGCTCTCTAATTTAGATCTGGCCAGTCTCAATGCATAACGGATGTGAGTCGCAGCGGCCTGTGATGTGCTCACTTTGTCACACCATATTGCCAGGCCTGATTGGTTAATTGCTCTCGGATCTGCAAAGTTTTAACTCATCTTTCTATTGCAGGGGACCATAAGTCTTCCTAAATCCACCCTCCACCTTGTTTGATGGAGAGCCTCCGCAAGTTGCACTCTTGAGTGGTTTAGCAAATTTTTGGAAAGAAAAAGTAGAGGTGTGCTTTTGCTGTTATGTAAATGATTGTGAAAGCCAACTAACACACACCTACCAAATATAAGAATCTCCATGGATTAACACTTTATGCTTCAATATTCAACAAATGGCACAAATATGAGTGGGAAAAATGTGACAAAACCAGTTATTACTAAGAAAAAATGTGTTGCGATGTGATCTAGCTATGAAATAGTTGCTTTTTTTGTTCACGTGTTTGAAGCACACAGAGATAAAAATTTGGTTGGTATCAAGCACAAAATAGTCAGTCATATATATATATGATAATTTCTACTTATAAAAGATACATTTAAATATAAATTCGCCATAACACATAAGTAAACTTAATATAAAGGCTCAAGTCTGTTAAAAAATACATTTTTTATATGAACCAATATATATATATATATATATATATATATATATATATATATATATATATATATATATATATATATATATATATACTGTATATATACATATAATTTTGTAGTTCCAAGATAGATAAACAGTCCATTACTTCAAACACTATCTGTGCTATGTTGTATTTGACATTAGATTTTATGTATTCCAAATTATAGCAAATAAAAGACCACATCAAAATAATTTCTTACTGGATTTCAAAGGGTAGATCAAACACTCAAATGTCTCATATTACCCACAATCCTCTAGAATAAAATTACTTTTTTTTTGTGACAATGGTTGTGTTATTCATTATATAATAATTTCACAACAAAATTCCGAATATTTTTATATGTTTTAGAACAAAAATTAGAAGTTTTGAGACAAAATAGAAATTCATAAATCTCCCCAAAAAGCAAGGTCGAAACTTTGTTTAAAAAAAAAAACATACAAACCTTTCCTAAACCTTAAACACTGTTCAAAATATTTATTGTGTTCTTTTTGTGCAAATTTGAAAAACACAAGCCATATCTCAGGTCTTGTACTTCAAAGTTTTACTTTCAACACTATATGCCACTGATTTGTGGTCTGAAAAATGAAACAGAAAAATTTCATTTGAGTTACGTTGCAAATTATGTCTCAAAACTCTTGTAATGTTCCTTTAGAACCAAAAATATCAAAAATATTAACCTATTTGAAACCTACACATTATATTTAGAATCTAAATTCAACAGTAGATGGGTCGTGTCAATCCTACTTAATTCAAAATAGTCTGTGTGATTGACACACGGACCAGTGCGCACAGAAACATTAAAGTTTCAAAGCTCTAGTTACACATTCAACCAGCTTATTCCCCGCAATACAGTTTGTATAGCGGAAATGTCTTGAAAATATCCTGGTGTGTATGGGTACACTGTGTAGTTTTTCTTATCTGATGGACTGGTGACCTATCCTGGGAGTACCCCATACGCAGCAGCAGTTGCCCACTTCCATAACCTTTAAGCAAGCTCCAAAGAACAAACAAACATCTGAAATCCACTAGCGTTCGGCAATGGATCTCAGTCATTGGCTGAGAACTGAAGCCTGGTTGTCCTCCTGCGTATACCCTGCTGCTCACATATTAATAGCTTCTGTTTATTTTGGACTTGAGAGGAAATATTTTAGTATTAAGTGTACGATCTATCTGTAACAGAGAAACGTGTTCCAGTAAATGGAAACCCTGGAAAGCTTCACAGAGTAGCAAATAATACCATAAGAAAAAAAGGACTGTGTCCACAGGGCCCAGAGTTTTCAGAGACCCCCACAAAACCTGTTTATCAATCAGCACAAGAACAGAAACCTGTGCAAATGCTCAAGAATCCCCACAGTCTCAGAGAAGTTAAGCCTTCCATATCCAGCACCAATGGGACCATGTCATTTCCAAGCATCTGCGTTTCTTCTGTGTTTGAACAAAAAACTATTTCAGTGTCACTTAAATTTGCCATTTTCCAGTCTCTTCCGTTCTGGGTGTTTTCTGGTCCGCTTGGTGTTGTGTATTAGTGGATGCCTCTCATTGAAAACAGGCCCTCAGGCTTTCCTTTTGGAGGATTTGAAATCTTCTGTCTGTCAGCTGAATGCGGCAGCTCTGGCATTATGGAGCTTCGGGGATGGACAGAAGATAAAGAACAAGGACACAGAGAGATTCTAAGGAACTATGGATTGACTGTTTCAACACTTGTTTGGAGTGTGAAATGTGGGTAAAAATCCTAATTGTCCTCTTCTTGACTGGGCCCCATTCAGTGCGAAATCCTCAAGGCCTGTTGAGAAGTGCAAACAAACTGCTTTCGCTTGGGGCTTCGGAGAACGAAAAGAGAATGAAAGAAGCACTCTTATCAAGTGCTCTGCAAATTTGTTTCCTACTGTGATGCAAGCCACTAGTTCTGAACTCAGTGCGCCCTCTAGTGTTGGCTGAGTTGTGATGGCAATTAAACATCAATCTAGAATAGTGAGGAAGTTTTAGGGAGGAAGTGAGCCATGGGTAAAAGGCTGTAAATGGCACCCTATTTGTCACCATTTTCCCTGGAGAGTCTTTCATCTTTGGGCAACACTGCATGGCTCAGGTTCTTTTCTCCAAGACTTCGCTAATGGAGGGCCCACAATGATTGCAGCTGCTCATGCTATCAGAGCTCTGAGGGGCAGACTGAATTTAAAGGCCAGGAACCTTTATGTCTCTTTATGAGGATGCAAGCTATTCTAGGTCATCGTGTAAAATGGGGCAAACAATCATCTGGCTTCTGCTGAAAGAGTGAAAGGAAGGCAGGTTGTGCAATGCAGAGTGTGGAGAGGAGTGGGGTGGGATTCATCGTTTAATCTCATTTTCAGATGAATGTGATAAGAATGGCAAGGTACCAAACTATGTTCACTGATAGATAAGAACATGCAACTAGGTGTTTGGGGTGGGGGGGGGTGTCTTTTATTTATTCAGAACTTACTGTCAAGTAACATGCTGCAACGATTGAGTTTCAGTGGTTTGCCAGCACTATTTTATTCTCATTACACTTTTTTATACTTTGAAATGATAATGAAATGATTTTAGATTTGATGACTAATCATCCCATTAGTTTGATTTATTTATGCATTTCAACACATAGAGTATGTAATATTTACAATAAAAGGTCTATGAGGCAACAAAACACACTCCTACTATTTCATATAAGGTGCTCAATTTAAAGTAATTTACTTTCTTAAAGCTTTTTTTTTCCTTTTAGAAATAATCTTGAAACATTTTTTTATTCTAAATTTATTTATTAGAATAGCAACTGATACTTGTATATATTTATTACTCAGTGGATTTCAGTTTCAATTTGGAAAATGCACAAATAAATAAACAAATGAATATATAGAATATTTCTTCATAAAACACACCAACTTATCTGGCTTAGTCAAACCAGTCGTGGCCTAGTGGATAGGGTGATTGACTGGAGACCAAAAGGTCGCTGGTTTGATCCGGCTCCAGCTCCACTGGGAGTTGAAGGTGGGATAAGTGTTTAAACAGTGACAACCAAGTCACCAGTTTCCCCACAGCTCCTACTTGAATGGGTAAAATGCAGAGTACTCCATACTTGGTCCTAATGTCACTTTCACCGGTAGGTACCTACTCCAACACCTACTCAACCTGCTGGCTACTCCAGTATTTGAGTGTGTTTCATTTGGGTCATTGTCTCATCAAAATAAAATAAAAATAAATAAATAAAGAAAAATAAAAAAAGGCTTGGAGCTAGGGTTGGCTTTGGTAAAAGTTAAAGATTATAGAAACTTTAATATTTTAACAATAAATTTGCTCAGCAAATCCATGTGTCAATCAAGTGTATGTGAACAGCACCTGAAATGCATGATAAGGACCTTCTTCATCTGCTCAATACAGGCAGTAGGTGTAACCATATGAATAGTGTAGATAAGTACATAAATTATATAAAGCACTAAAGCTCATTCAGCAACACAGCAGTAATAAGAACATACTAAGGCATACAAAAGATAAAATGATTAACAATCAAAAGAACGATTAACTGACATTGTTTTACATATTTTCCTATGATTCCAAAACAATGCCTTTATTTGACCATGTATTTATTTGTAATGTCCCATCCCACTTTACCATGCTCCAGCTCTACTGGCGGCAGAGCTCCATGCACTGGTTCCTGAGTTTCCCCCGACCTCTGAACTCTTGTGGACCCCAACTCCTGTACGTCGTCCTGTAAGCTCTTCTATAGATGACACATCCCAATCACTCTCCTCATCAGACAACTAAAAAACAGAAAAATAAATTATACATCTGTGAAAAGAGTTCATCCTAAAGTCAATGAAAAAGAAAAAAAATAGGTACAGCTCGCTGTTTTACGATGGCAGGACGAGGGGATGGAGTGGATGGCGGTAGAACTCTAGTCCCACCCACAGGCTTTTTGATTGGTGTGCTCAGCTGTCTTTCTAAACTTCTTGTCAGTGTTTGGACAACAGAACCTGAAACCATAAACATTTACTACGTAATACTGAAAAACTTTTAAATGTAACCCTGTAAAACTCCTGTATAGTCTACCTCTTATTTAGTCATTTAGGAAAGATTTATTTAAAAAAGAAAATGTCTGTTTTACCATCCCCAGAAGGCTGTACACGTTAATGAAAAAAAACTGATAAACATACAAAAAAGGTGCCAAACGACCTAGTATAGAAGTAGACAAGAGCCTAAGATAACAAAACAACACATGTGAATATAAGAGTCTAAACATCTGGAGGTGAAAGGGATGCTTCAATTTCACAATTTGCAGAATTTAAAAAAAATATATATAGTTTTCAGAAACTTTTTCTGAAAACCATATATTTGCATTTAGCCAGTGATAGATCAATATCAAGGAGAAGTTAACGTTTCATAAGCTGGCCCGTTAACTACATAGTGTTTGGACGAGTACAATCCATAGGTATAAGGAAGACAATACATATATAAAAACTTTAGTTCAGTCTTTGGACCTATATAAAACTTAAAATTCACAATGAACCTCATCAGTAGTTCTTTAGACAATTCTAGCTTCAATGGAAGGAATAGCCTTCTCAATAGTTTTTCTTCATGTTCATAGAATTGTACTTTTCATATATATATATATATATATATATATATATATATATATATATATATATATTTCTGAACAAAGCAATGCAGCTTACTTACACACATTGTACATACCAATAAAAATATTTATCACTATTTAAGAAAAGATGCTTGCTTAAGTCTTTCAAAGATGATTTCTTATATTTGATCAAGTAGATCAGAATAAATAAGAGTAAGAATATATTAAGGATTATTTTAATTCTGTACACAAATACAATTGCCATTTGTGTAGGAGCCATTTCTTTGAGATATACTATTTATTTGCTATTATGAGTATTTCTAATTTCTTTCTAATAAATTAGATAATACAGATTTTTAAAAAAGTAAAATAACTAGTAAGTGATTAAGTAAAGGGGTGTGTTTGAGTGGGTTGACACTGCCTTTTGGTCATGCCAGCGTGCTGTTAACCTCCTTGTGATTTGCTTTGATTTACTCATCCTTTTGTTTTAGAAGTTTGTTACGTTGTTTAAGTTAAACTACGTCAACTTTCATTACACATAAATATAGAGTTTAATAAAGTTGGCATTTGCTCACCATGTTTCTGTGCATCTGATACTTGTGACAACTCACTGTCCGTCCAATCAGGCACAGCATCGGGGTTCAGCAGTGATCCTGATTGGACAAGGTGCACAGAAGGGGAGGGCTGGCACCGTGAGCCGTTAATGTCCTCAACTGACTCCTCATCTGAACTGAAAGGTGGAGTGCTTAAAAGAGAAACAGACTCATTCAACATTTACGATGTTCAAAAAAACAGCCCCATCTCTTTATTTTGGCATTCTTTTCATGTTTTTTTGTATTATTATTATTTATCTGAACATTTACCTGCTCTTTTTTGGCACAATTTTTAGAGTTTGATTCTGAGGAGGTACTTTGGAGCGTGGGGTGGGTTTTGGAATAAGTGATTGTAGCTGCTGGTTCTTTTCCCTCTGAGTGGATGCCTTTGAGTCCTCTCTGGATCGGAACCTTTTTTCCATCAATGGGGTTGACGTTTTTTTTACTCCTAAAAGCAATATACTTGAGCAACTGATCTTGGTTCAGAGGAGTGGTAATCAAACAGAAGTTGCTGATGGGTAATTCAGTAGTTTTTGATAAAAACACATCTTCTTACTCTTTTTCAAAGTCCTTGGTGTTAATTTCCCCCGGCTCGTCTGAAGACCATTCACTCGTCTGATAACTTCCTGTGTCAGGCTGTCTCGTAGATTCTGATGGTCTGGCTGCTGTTTGTATCTCTGCAGTCGCTGACCACTCAACAGAGAATTGAGACTCTTAAATGTTTGCATGGAGATGCCTTTAGTACCCTGTGAATACATGTTCACATCAAACACAACAGCTAAATGTAAGAACAAACATTAAAATAACTATTCTAAATTGCAGTAAAAAGATTCCAAATCAATAAAAGTACTTTTTCATTTACAGATAAACATTTTTCAACACAGTTCCACACACATAATATGTTTATTTTAAGGATACCAAGATGAAAGAACAAGTTAGCCATAGCATTCATGTTATGTATTTAGAAATTCTTCTTAAAGGGACATTTATCCATTCTTATTGTACCCCAATTATTAATCCAGGTTAAAATCAATGTATTGGCTGGCCAATGTGAGGGTACATATATTCACCATTCACTTGAATTAATTGCAGATTCCCTTGACATTCCCTTGGCATGGACTAGGAACCTTCAGGTTGATCGATAACATCACTAAGCATTTTGCTACTAATGTTAAACCAAACTTTGGCTTTAATGCGATTAGTCCTTGCAATCTGTTACCTTTCTCAAGCCCATACTCTCTAGTTTCTGATCCAGTCTCTCTTCTAGACTGTGTTTAGACTTCCTCATCAGCACTGGCTTTGGTTTGGGAAACTGTGGAGTCTTCAACTGGGGTTCATCCGACTCCTGCAGACCTAGAGATCAGTGAACATCTTTATTTTGAGAATCGGAATGTGTCTGTAATGAACAGTGATGCAGGTCTCACACATACTTTCACTCTCTTCCTCCTCAGGCTCCACAGGGGAATGATGGAGAGCTACTGGGACTATCAATAAAAGAGAAAATTAAGCCAAATGTCATCTAAAGCTAAGTGATGCAAAAAGTTGTTATTGTGTTCAGGCATGCCAGATTCTGAACGTCTTACCTGGAATTGGAATGGCTGAGAGCTTTTTAATCTGTGTGATAAACAGTTTATCAAGTTTAATGTGAAATGCACAACTTTTCTGCATGTAAATATCAAAGAATATGAAATTCCAAATCATACATACATTCTGTTTGTTTCTACATTTCAACTACATATTAAAGGCACTTTTTTTTTAATTGGTTCATTCTAAAAACAACTCTGATTTGGAAAGTTGAGTTTTATTATTTTTTTATAAATGATTCCACCATTCTCCAGATCTGGCTATAGCACTGTTAGCATAGCTTAAACCAAGTATAGCGGGTGACGAGAGAGACACGGACACACTAGCCCTGTTCAAGTCCGCTTTATTTAAAAAATGGCACCATTAAAATAATTAAAAAGTCACTCATTGTGGCGAAACCAGCCGTGGATAGGCTCCCTGGGTGCCTTCACCCCGATTAATCTAGTGTGGTTTTCCGACCAGAGTTTTGGGATCTCCAGTGGCTGGTCTCCTTGGTGATCCCCGGGCTTCAATGATTTCATGGCCACGAACAGACAGAGTGCTCCAGAAGCCTTCTCTCGAGGAGTGAGTGGCCAGCCGAGATCAGTGAGTCAACAGGTCTGGCAGCAATCCTATAGATCCGGTTGGTGGGCACCTCCTGGGCTCCTTCGGCTCTCAGTAGCTTCCGCGATCTCCGCTGCTTCTCCCGATAGATGGAAATGGTCTGCCCTCTCCAGCCCCCCGAACAATGTGACTCTCCTCTCCTCAGCTGCTTCACATTTAAATGTGAAGCTGGCAAGTGCGCGCAGGCCGAATGAGTTAGATAAGAACTTAGCTGTTAGAACATTTGAATTCAAAATCATTAAAGAATTTTTATATTTTTAACTATTTTTAATGTACATCTTCTATTGCACTGAGCACTAAAATCAAAGGGGACGCAAAGGTGTCTTTTGAGGGAACACAATCTTTGCAAGGATGTGCTGTGAGTAATATTAAGCTCAGTACAAATGCATAGAATACATATTATATTTGTGGGTGTATATATATATATATATATATATATATATATATATATATTATTTTATTTTTTTTCTTTTGTACAGCTTTGATCACTGTACAATACAAGAATTAGGACGAGCCCAGGTTAAAGCAATTGGACAAACATCAATGCACCATTGTTTCTTAGTGACCCCTGTTCTAGAGCTAGAATGGAGGAAAATGAATAGGTATAGCTGATTGCCACATTTTAAA